CTTCGCGAGGGGCGAGACAGAAGTAACAACTGCCCACCACAAGCCTCCACCACCCTGTACACAACCTCCGCAACCTCTGACTACCAACCTCCGCCCCCTCCGCCCCAACCTGCTCCAGAGCCCTCAACCAAGTGAATCCCGCCCGGCTCGCCCTCAACCAAACGGATGCATCTCTTTCCGCCCAGATTTGTCCCGGCTCGACGCGGCTCGAAGATCTCGGAGCCAGCGGAAGGACGAGGCAGAGGATGATCGGGAGAGGAACAAGGCAGACATGCTGTATGTCGATGTGGTCCTCCCCCTCCCACATCGAGAGGGAAGAAGACTGGGGCAGCCAGCCTCGAGCTCTAATCTATCCCCAAGGTCGACACAGCCAAAGACATGACAATGATAGAGATGCACCTTCAGAGACGGGAACCTTCCAGATCGGCACCAAGATGACGTGATGACAATCATTCGGATAGAGATATATGATTCAGGCTGGTAGTGGTATGGGAGGCGAAGTGAGGCCAGGCGACTAATTCGCCCGTCAGAAAGGCCGCGCGCGGGGCTGGGAGTGGGCGCCAGGGCGCCGCTCATGCAGTCGCCGGGAATAAACTGGTTTTTTATAGTGCGCGTAACCGGCCTCCACTGACCGACGCACTGGCTATCCCATCCCCCTCACACACACACACACACACACGCACACACACACACACAAACACACACACACACAAACAAACACACATGTTGTGAGAATGGATGTATGCATACAATGGTGGCTCTGGGTCTCCCGCACGCCAGCCGCGTCGGCCGCGGGCGCCTTCAGGGGGCAGCTGTGGCATCACTATGTAGCGGTGCTGTAGCAGTGCTGGTAGTGGTGATCTCTGTGGCAGAGGCATCGATCGTAGGCGTTGGAACGCATGGGTGCCCAACCGCGTGCTTCTGCAGCCGTGCCTGCGTTCCGAACGGTTGACGGGATATGCTGTTTGCACAAGGACCACGCGTTGTTTCCATCGGCGTCGTCGGCTTCCACTGGCAGCAGACACGTGCGGCATCGCTCCTCTGCTCATCGTCTTCGCCCGCCTTCACCCCGCCCTCTGAAGGCCCATGCCTTCGCAGAAGTTCCCCCGCCTGAGAAGGCTGGCCCCCTCGCGCCACCCCTCTGCGCGCGCCGCCCACCGTCGATGCATCGGCGACACCAACGTGGAACATATCGAGTTCCAGAGTTCCCCGCGTCGCAGATGCGTCGGCGTCGCGGCGCGATTTCTCAAGACCCATGCATTTTGGACTCATCTGGGCCGCCTGGAGCTCTTCACCTGCGCCATATCCTCGTTCTCGTCGCCCCCACCAGGCGCCCGCTGTCATGGACATTCCCCCCATGGCGCCCCTGGGGATGGTTGTTCATATCAACCCGCTTTGCTGGGTCATCCCAGCAGCCTGCCCAGGGGCAAGACATAGTGAAAAAAATGCCCCTCCAATTTCTCAAGACATCGGAAATTATTCCGTGAAAGCACCCATCCACCAAAAAGCACTGGACCAGTCCAAGGTTGCGTTTGAACCAGAGTTCCGAAAATGATCAAATCATGACCATGCGGGCAGTGAGCCTAGCGAGTGACCCAGATCCCACCCACCCCCTCAACCAAAAAACACCAACAACAACAATCATTATAAGACTGCTCGCTCCTATCTGCCCGCGTGTCATTCACTATGCAAATCCCAAACCCTGGATACCCGCCCTCTTCGTCTTCGATCGCACCCCTCTTTGGGGGGGGGTCTATTCTTCCCGGCCACGCGTAATGAGAGAAGCGCGGGAGGCGAACCCGCAATCAGAGGCAGCGAGCTTTGGCACTTGTCGGTGTGACCCCATTACACTTGCCGCAAGCAGATATCAGCGGCAATCCACACGGAGACCCCATTTCATTAGCCATAACGCTGGGGTCACTGCGTGCAGGAAACCGAAATCCGGCAGTGGACAGTGTTGTTGCCCAGAGGCCTCGCGGGAGGTGGAATCGGAGCCTGATGTCATCAATCACATTGCTGGGATTCGCGCGTGCGGGCATGTGATCAGCTATATACAATAACGAAGCGCCATTACTACAGCGCCAGCCTCTGCTTGTGCGAAAAGGGTAAGCCTCAGCAGCAGTTCGCCGCCAAGTGAAGTCCCAGGCGGCAGTTCCCAGGCGGGAGCGCCGTTCCTTGAGTAAATTGCACGGAAGTCTCAGGCGGGAGCGGGGGTCCTGTGTAAATTGCGAGGAAGTCCCAAGCGGGAGCGCCGATCCTGAGTAAATTGTGAAGAAGTCTCAGGCGGGAGCGGGGGTCATGAGTAAATTGTAAGGAAGTCTCAAGCGGGAGCCGTTGTTGTTGTAATCCAGGGTGGCAACAACGCAGTTTGAGGATCAAGATTTTCCCTTACAAAAAACAGGGTGCGAGCGTCGAGGGGCGCACTTTGACTCAGACAAACAGTGTGCACCGGTGGGGGGGATCAACAACTTCAGAAATGAGAATTCAACAACAACAACAACAACAACAACAACAACAACAACAACAACAACAACAATCACTTTACCCGAACGCTCAGTGTTCTCACCAGTGCCAGGGTTTTCATGCGACGCCAGCCAATACCCCCACTTTGTGGGGGGGCAGTGCAAGCTCTACCAAATATCCACACGACTCTTCGCCACCACCCACACCCAGCTTCCCGCCCTATGACGTTCGGACACTTCACTTCGTGGCCTGCGGACGACCGTGGCTACTACACTGGCGTGGAGTACACACCCACAGAAGTTGTTAGGACAGCGCGCGCGGGTAGAAATTTTGAAAAGTCGTGCAGGTGTTTTTCGAGGACCTACGGTGCGATTCGTGTGATTTTATGATGCGCGGTGCTAAAATTCTTAAGAAGCCCAATGGTTTTTGGAGATTTCGGCGTGCGCGCGCGAAGAAAAAACGAATGTGTCCCGCATGGTATTATTTGACAGGGATGATGGCCCTGGCAGGTGCGCAACCGTTGTCGCAGAAGTTCGAAAAAGTTGCTCGCAAAAGCCCGTTTGACAGAAATGTTTAAAAAGTGTTGGGTTTCCTACGAATCCGCAAGAGCGCGCGGGATGAGATTTTGACATTTTTTTGTTGAAAAACCATTGGTTTTTTGATGTTTTTATGTTAAAATCGCTCCGAACACTAAGCTTTTGGAAGGATTTCGTCTTGCGCGCGCGAATGTCCACTTTACCTTATTTTTTGCAAGGGATTCTTGAAATTTGATTATATTAGAACAAGAAATGTCATTTTATAGTGTTTTTTGCAAGGGAAAGCGGGGGGGAACAAAACAACCGGATCTTGATCACATCGAATTACCTGAGGCTTCCTCACGAAAATGATGAAAATGTAGCTGCGGCCTAGGCGGCGCAGGGGGGCCGTGCACCAGGGGCCCCAACAATAATTATTCTTTAGAATTAATAATGTTCAACAACAACAACAACAAGAAGAACAAGAACAACAACAACAACAAGAACAGCAATAATCAGTTTAAGATGATTCGCTCTTATCTGCTCGAGTGCCCGTTAAAGCGTATTTCCCAACCCTCGATACCCGCCCTCGTAGTCTTCGATCGTACCCCTTTTGGGTGGTATACCTTTTTTCCCTGCAGGCCCAGCCCCGGCAAGCGGCGGGGCGGCCACGGACCGTCGGCCTGGCCAGCGGCAGCGCTGATCGACGGCAACCCGATCCAAAGAGGGACGGACAGGGGACAGACCACGACGACGACGACGACGACGACGACGACGACGACGACGACGACGACGACGACGACGACGAGCGAAAGCGAGAGCGAGAGCGAGAGAGAGAACAACAGCAGGGCCACGAAGGGCACGAAATAGGCCACGAAGGGCGACAGCGGGGGCACGAAGGGAATGCGGATGGGGCCACGAAGAGCGCTAACGAGCTGGGGCCACGAAGGGCAGATAATGCTGGGCCACAGAAGGCAACGACGGGGCCACTGTGGGTAGCAACTGGGCCACGTAGGACAGCGAGGGGTCACAAAGGGCGACAGCGGGGCCACGAAAGGCATGCACATGGGGCCACGACGGGCCCGAACGAGCGGGGGCCACGAAAGGCATACGTAGATTGAGCCGCGGGGGGCCAGGACGGGGCCACTGAGAGCAGGAACGGGGCCACGAAAGGCAGCGAGGGGGCCACGAAGGGCGACAGCGGGGCCACGAAGGGCATGCATATGGGGCCACCACGGGCGCGAACGAGCGGGGGCCACGAAGGGCATACATACGGGGCCACGAAGGGCAACGAGGAGCCCACGAAGGGTTGCAACGGGGCCACGACGGACGGCGAGGGGGCCACGAAAAGCTGCAACGAGGCCACGAAGGGCATACATACGGGGCCACGAAGGGCTGCAACGAGGCCACGAAGGGCAGCGAGGGGGCCACGAACGGCTGCAACGGGGCCACGAAGGGCAGCGAGGGAGCCACGAAGGGCTGCAACGGGGCCACGACGGGCAGCGAGGGGGCCACGAAGGGCTGCAATGGGGCCACCACGGGCGCGAACGAGCGGGGGCCACGAAGGGCATACATACGGGGCCACGAAGGGCAACGAGGAGCCCACGAAGGGTTGCAACGGGGCCACGACGGACGGCGAGGGGGCCACGAAAAGCTGCAACGAGGCCACGAAGGGCATACATACGGGGCCACGAAGGGCTGCAACGAGGCCACGAAGGGCAGCGAGGGGGCCACGAACGGCTGCAACGGGGCCACGAAGGGCAGCGAGGGAGCCACGAAGGGCTGCAACGGGGCCACGAAGGGCAGCGAGGGGGCCACGAAGGGCTGCAACGGGGTCACGAAGGACGGCGAGGGGGCCACGAAGGGCTGCAACGGGGTCACGAAGGGCTGCAACGGGGCCGCGAAAGGCAGCGAGGGAGCCACGAAGGGCTGCAGCGGGGCCACGACGGGCAGCGAGGGGGCCACGAAGGGCTGCAATGGGGCCACGAAGGGCAGCCAGGGGGCCACGAAGGGCTGCAACGG